CAGTGACTAGCGATTCGGAAGTAGTTTGTCACTCTTTCTTCCTAGTCTGTCTTTGTTTTGTAGCTCATCTGAAACCTTTCCACCATGGGTGAATCGTTTTTGGATCGTTATAAGTGACTGTATTTAATACGAACACTCTCCACTGAGGCATTCTGAAGCTGCTGTGCTTGGCTTCTTTCCATTACCATTAAAAAAGTAAGAGTTGGCTCTACTGACAAATTCCTGGTGTAATTTTGCCACAATAAAAAAATCTAAATGCTCTCATGGTCACTGAAGCAATCAAACTAGACAGAACTACTATGTGCTTACAAAATGTATTATAAGTCAACAGGAAGATATGGGAATCTATCATTAAAATGATAAAAGGTTAATATGTACTAGTATATCATCCCAATTAGAATAGATTTTTAAAGCTGACCTGAATTAGAACCTTATTTTATTAAATGATTCATTCAACAGAAAGGTATGAAAATGTATTGCTGTGTTTTCCAAACACTTTCTTCACAGAACCTGTTCTCCCCAATAAGAAATTTTTATGCAGAATCCCAATTTATATCCCGGTAACTGTGAAATCTCTCTAGGATACAGGGAGCTTAGCTTCATATCCTTGCCCTCTGTGCCATATGACTCTCCTTGGTAGAGTCTTGGGTTCTAAGGAATTCAGTTAGAAAATCCCCAAAGTAGTAGAAAGAGTATGAAATCTAGAATCACAATTCTGCCATTTACACGCCATAACTTTTAAGTTAACCCTCTGAGGATTCTTATATGGCACAAAAATTTTTTTAGAGAATTTTTTTCTAAATCTTTGTAACCTAAACACTATTATAACAAAGCTGATGAAATATATATATTATATGCAAAGCTCTTTCCTGAGTAAGGTAAAAATGCCACAATCTGGTTGTATACATTTAACAACAGCACAATGCAATTCTGCTATTCAAAGTTCTACAGCATCAGTATGCCTAGTGCCTAGAGCAATTAAATGTAGGTAAGCAATAAATGCAGAGGCTGAAGTGGTGGGAAACGTCACAGAGATGGAGTGATATGTAAACTGAACTCTTGACACTGTACAGGAAGGTTTTAACAGAGCAGAACTGAGACTGCTACTCTAAGAAGCTGGCCCTTGAATGGCATCTGGGAACTTGACTAGTATGAAACTCCCTAACATGTAGTTTATGGGGAACACCTGCATTATGCAGGAAGGCTGGAACTTTGGTATGTACTAGGCAGAGGGTACCTACATCATCAACCCCAAATAAAAACCTTGAACACTGAGTCTCTTCTGTACATCCCTGGTATAAACACACATCTTATCACAACTTGCTGACGGAGTCATTATCAGGTCTATGTTTGCAAGGCTCTATTCTAGTGTTGAACTTCCGGTGTGGCACTGTAGGACAAGCACAAGGTTCAAACCCACCAGCTAGCTGTTCCTAGGAAACTCTATACAGGGTTGCTATGTATGAGTCAGAACGGATTTGACAGCACTTAACAACAACATGTGACCTAAGGCAGGACTCTTGGGAAAGCATACCAGGTTTCCTCCAGACTGCACCCCTACAACTTCTCCTCTGGCTGATTTTGCTTTATAGCCTCCTTTCACTGAAGTTAAGTAAATCACAGCTGTGAACCCAATTATGTGCTGAGCTCCTGCAGAGCAGGGGTGGGGAGCCTTTTCCTGCCAAAATTTGTAACATCATTCACAGGCCATACAAAATTATTAATTTAAAAATTAGCCTGCTATATGTGATCAAACATTTAATTAACTCACTCCTAATATAAAGGCTGGAGTCCTGGTGTGGCACTAGGGATTAATGTGCCAGACTGCACTGCAAGGTCGGCAGTTCAAGCTCACCAGCTGCTCCTTGGAAACCCTATACACGGTCGCTATGGGTCGGAACCAACTCGACAGCACTTAACAACAACAATATGATGGCTGGAACTGCTACTACCTTGACAGGGTCAGACCAAATGATTTCGAGGGCCTTATACAAGCCACAGGCCAGACGTTCCCAATCCCTTCTCTAGAGAATCACCCCAAGCTTGGAGCCAGGGATGTTAGCGACCCTACATTATCTATAAGTGCTATCTAGCCATTCAAATTGCAATCCTTTTACACAACCTTATTTTTAAGCTCAATTTATGCTTCTATGCCATTCAAACAACAGGCCTTAAAAAGGTAAATGAGGAACAAAAACAAGAGGAACCAAGTTTTTGCATTAAATACTGTCCTTGATATATCCTATCTCATGCTGAAAGCCAGCCCTGAAAATGAGGACCAGCACTTCAGAGGTGACTTGAAAATGGACAGCACAGCTTTCCCAGACGAGATGACTTAGAACAAACTTGGTAGCTGTTGTGTGTCAGTTCTACATCCACATCCCAAAGCTACAATACTAACAATTCCCACTTCAAATAAACCATTTTTCTGAAAATAAACTAATACTCTCCCCACTTTGCTTCCCTGTTACCTTTCCATGTTTTCAGCTTAAATTAAAAAATTACCAGTGATAGTAAGGGTGAAGAAATATTACCAGTCTGACTGCTTGTTTCATTTTGTCTGAAGCAATTGCCAAGATTTCTGTAGTAGGATTGAAGGTCAGAGAAGTAACACCTGTAACCAAGTTCATTATCGCTTTTATCGGCTTTGGATTTGGTTCTTGGAGACAAGAATCTTGATTATATATGTTTACCACTCCACAATTAGAACTGCAAAAAGAAAAGGGAAACTAGTAAATCATTAAACACAAAGGATTAAGACACTAGCAAAAGTGCTTTGACAACCAAAGCGAATTTAATATAGAAGTTACCCTACAAGCTGGTATTTGTACAATCATACTGTGTTACAGAAGGAGCTCTGGTAGTGTAGTGGTTACGAGTCGGGCTGCTAACCTCAAGGTCAGCAGTTCGAAACTACCAGCCGTTCTTGCGGGAGAAAGATGAGGCTTTCTGCTCCTGTAAAAATTTATAGCCTCAGAAACACTGTGCAGGGTTCACTATGAGTTGGAAGCGACTCTCCGGTACTTAACAACAACTACTACTGTTATAGAAAGACCAGAAACGGGAAAGTTCGTATCAAGACAAACATTAAGACACAGTCTATTAATTCTACTTTAATCTTGCTCAACTCTTTTGTTAACTCTGGCAGTTTTTCAATTACAAGTCTAGATAGAAAATCCAAGAAAAGCTTATTTTTATGGTGGTTGTTAAGTGCTGGAGAGTCAGTTCTGACTCATAGTGCACCAGGTATTGGGTTTCCAAGGAGCAGCTGTTGGGTTTGAACCACCAACCTTGCAATTAGGAGTCCACTGCTTATCCTATCATGCTAACTCTATGCCAGGCACTATTTAGGTGCTTAGGCTATAAAGGTGAACAGAAGAGACCAAGACCCACAACACTCATGGTGCTAACATCTTTCTTTTTATTCTACTGTGTATGTAACTGCCTTTCCCCTATTTATACCTCCTCCTTTTTGCTTTGTTTGTGAGAACTCCCAAACAGCAGCAGTCGTAGCAGGCATTTTAGTTATGCTTTTCCAGGAATCTCTCCAAGTCAAAGGTTCTGGAAGGGATTATTCATTTCAAATCTACTAATGCATTTATAGTAACAATGAATCACATCCAATACTCTTTACAAGTAAATCCTAATGACTTTATATCTGTAACGAAGACTTAACATAAGGTTTTAAACAAAAGCTGTTTTATCTCAAAGCTCAGAACTACATAATATTATGGGCATTATTTATAAGGTACAGGAACAAGGTACGTGTCATCCACAAATATTTAATACAAACATAATTAGTAATTAGTAAGCCTGAAAGATTGCAGCAAATTAAACCACAATCTCACAAGGGTAACACCAGGGAATTCAACCAGTGTATTTATCCCTATCACTCAAAATATCTCATTTATTCACTTAACACCACTTCAGGGAGAAAGATAAGGCTTTCTGCTCCCATAAAGATTTATAGCCTCGGAAATCCTGTACAGGGTCGCTATGAGTCAGAACCACCCACCAACACTGATTGCTTACAACAAGCTATATGAAAGTTACCACAGCTTTAAAACGTGCATGGAATAGCCGGGGGGGAGGGAGTACATGCATGAAACAGATACAAGAGAAAGCAATACAAAACTAAGCTACATCTGTCTAGAACCTCCAACAAGAAGAAAGAGAAACATCAGTCTGAGATGAAGCTGCTCCACATAAAGCTTGTGGAAGAACTCAACCATGGGCTCAGCAAGAAGAACGAGGTAAAAAACCCAGGTATCACAGATTAAGAGGAAGAGTAGGAAAAAGGGAGAAATAAGCATTCATATGCTGATGCTGTGGGATAAAGCACTGGATGAAAAGGACAGTGTGAGCCACAAGGTTCACACCAGCTGCTCCTCAAAAACCCTATATAGGGTCACTATTAGTTGACACCGATGGCACTTAACTGACCCTACACCCCTTCCCTGACTGAAGGAAGGAGACATGGTCTGTGTGACTGCCAGCCTCCCACTAGAGCAAATGAACCACCACAAAGTGTCCTGGCACACAAAGTTCTTTCCAAAACCAGCCGCTGTCATCAACTCTACTCACAGTGATCCTATAGGATAAAGTAGAACCACCACTAGCGTTTCCTAGGCTGAAATCTTTATGGAAGCAATTCACTACATCTTCTGTGGATCAGCTGGTGGGTTTGAATGGTCAACCTTTTGGTTTGCACTGGTGCACTTTACTCACTGTGCCACCAGGACCTTTCTCTTACCCAAAAGTAATGATGAACTGGGACTAGGAATCGTGGTAGTGGGAATCACAATTGAAAAGACATATAGAAGAATACAGCAGGAACACAAACAACATCACGAGCAAGAAGAAACTATAGGCAGAACAGTGGTTATCGACCAGGAGACACCTGGCAGTATCTGAAAACATTTCTGGCTGTCACAATGAGGCTGGTGGTGGGGTAAGGGTCAGGAGGGTGGTACAACTAGAATCTGGCAGCTTAACATCCTACAGTCCCCACAGCAAAGAACTGTGTAGCCCAAATTATCAGGAATGTAGGGGTTGCAGAGAATAAAAAGCTGCCCTTTTTAGACTGGTTCTCAAACTTTACAGTACTAAGAATCAGCTATTGTTGTTAACTGCTGTTGCATCAACTCTGACTCACAGCGACCCTGTATAGGGTTTCTGAGGAGCAGCTGGTGGATCTGAACTTGGGTTCATTGTCTAGTGTTGATCCTACAGAGCCACACCAGAAGCCCTTAAAAGTCAGCTTGTGTATGAAAAAGTAAATTCCTAGTATCTCAGGGTCCCACCCCACTCCAGCACTGATTCATACACCTGGGAGGAAGTCCAACAACCTTCATTTTTAACCACCACTTCAGGAATACTGACGAAGCTCTGGTGTTATAGTGGATTATGCTAACCACAAGGCTACAGTTCAAATCCACCAGCCAATCTGCAGGAAAACGAGGAAGCTTTCTGCTCCCATAAAGATTTATAGCCTCTGAAACCCTACACAGGGTTGTTATGAGCTGGAATCGACTTGATGGTAAGTGGGTTTGGTTTGGATTCAGGTATACGGGTACTGGAAGGGGTCTAAGGACTATCCGTAAGTAAAAAGTCAGGGGTAAGGGTGGGCACTGTACATAATAGCTGAGAGTGCGAGAAGCTATAGAATCATAAAATAACATCCTACTGAGGGGTTCAGAAACAGTCCAGTCCCTAAGACTGCTTGAAACCTTCAATGGTTCACTTCCATTTTTGTGTGGCTTTACTATATAGCTGTTTTCTTCTTTACTATTCCATGGAGGTGGCCTGAGGAAGTCTGCACTTCAAGTTAAAAATCTGACACAACCATAGCAACCTGCTCCTCACAGTCTACACAACCTCAGACTAAACAAGCTGAAAACAGAACTCAAAATTCTCTCCTTGGCTGAACTCTACAGATATGCCTCTCACCCCCAGTCACCTCTCTCCACTGACTCTTACCCCCAAGGTGCTATTCCACTCTGATGCCTACAGCTTCAGAGCATGCCTGCTCCTGTCCCACCACATTTTCTAAGCAGTCACCAAATACAATACAAACCTCTATTGCCTATCTTCCCTGTCCCCATTCCCACTGCACTAGTGATGGCTGTCCCTTACTGCCTGGATCATGACTTCAAGGCTCATTTCTCTGCCGCCCTTTCTCTTCTATATACAGTCAAACCCTAATGTTCCGATCTACCCTGGATGGTTTCTCTTTCTACTCAATAGCCAAACTCTTTGATATGGCATACAAGTGGTACCTTGCCTGCTTACCTTTGTAACCTAGACCTGTTAGGACTCATCTCATCTATATTTCACTCTGAACTCACCTCCGTATCTTAACTCCTTCCACTACCTGCAATGCCTTTCTTTGAATCCTTCCTGCCCTCAGCATGTTCAGCTCAAGTGCCAATATCCCCAATAAAACTTACAATACAACCATGTCCTCAAAGATTCTCTAGATGAATTTTTATAAAATGAAACCCATTTTATATGGTGAATGCTAAAATTTAAGGACTATAACCTCCTGACCAAAAGCATAATGAATCTCACAATTTTCTACAGCCCTGGGAGCATTCAGTATCCTTTTAAAATAAAACCAAACTATTTAATAGATGGCTATGTGGAAAGAACACAGAAATGGGAACCAAACCACCTTTCAGATCCAGTTCTTCCAAAAACCAACTTCATGAGTAACACCAGTAACTTAAATTACCTATGTCTTAACTCAGTTTTGTCATCAATAAAATCACCTCTCTGCAAGATGCTCTCCACCTGCACTGTCCAGTATGGCAGCTACGTGTGGTTACTGAGCACTGGAAATGTGGCTCATGTTACTAAGGAACTCAATTTTTAAGCAAATTAATGTAAATAATTCCATATGACTAGATGCTACTGTAATGAATGTGCAGGCTCATGCAATTAGTCACGGAGAAACCATACAGAAATTATTATTGTTAAGTGCCATCGAGTCAGTTCCCATATAGGGTTTCCTAGGAGCTGCTGGTGAGTCTGAGCCACAGATCTTGTGGTTCAAACTGACTTTGTGGTCCAGTGTTTATCCTACAGTGCCACATCCAAAAATGGAAACCATGTTAATAAACAAATGGAGTAGTAAAAGAAAAAAAAAATCATTATGAGAAAAAATGGATACTAAAAACATACTATATAGAGCAAACATAATGAAAGACAAACTTTGGTTGCTAGCTTTAAGTTACAGATGTCTAACTGCCACATTCTCCAACTCTAGGAAGGACACTGATATCACACATACCTTAAAGCAAAGATTTTAAGCCAAAGGTTTACAGCTCTGATATAACAGGTGAGGAAAACAGCACTCCTAGGTACATTTAGGAACTTCAAAATGTAAAGCTATATAAAGCTGATGCCCAGAATGTTTGAAGATGCCTTTTCAAAGTGACTGTATATATACAGCATAAAAGGATTCAACGGTTATTAAGTGCCACCAAGCTGGTTCCGACTCACAGCAACCCTATCTAGGGTTTCTGAGCAGTCATGGTGGGTCTGAACTGCCAACCTTGCAGTTAGCAGTCCTAGAGCACCACACCAGAATCACCCAAAACAAATACTACTTTTCTTTACTTTTTGGAAGCCCCCTGCATCATTTACGGATTCTTCTCCTAGAAACCACCTGCAGCTCTCTGGAAACCCTACACAAGGTCACTATCAGT